TTGCCAAAAGAGTGGGCACTATTGGATTACCCACTAGTACACCTCAAAACCCGGAAATCCCTATACAGTACCAAGACATTAAAGAAGTATTCAGCAAAACTCAGTGAAATACTCTACCTCCTCACAAAACTTATGATTGTTCCATTAATTTACTACCCGGCGCTATGCCACCTAAGGTAGCAGTCTATGCTCTGTCACCTCAGGAGAGTAGAGTAATGGAGGAATATATTAAGGATTCATTGAATAAAGGCCACATACGAAAATCATCCTCGCCTGCTGAGGCAGGATTCTTTTTTGTATCTAAAAAGGACGGTGAGTTGCGCCCATGTATCGATTACAGGGCATTGAACAAAATCACCATTAAGAACGCCTACCCCATTTCTCTTATTGCTGAATTATTTGATAGACTCCATGGCGCTAAAGTATTTACTAAGCTTGATCTTAGAAGTGTTTACAACTTAGTGAGAATCAAGGAAAACCACGAGTGGAAGACTGCATTTAAAACCAGAAGTGGAAACTATGAATATCTAGTGATGCCATTTGGGTTGTGCAATGCTCCAGCAGTTTTCCAAAATTTCATAAATGATGTACTCAGGGATTACATTTACTCGTTTGTCTTGGTCTATCTGGATGATATCCTTATTTATTCTCCTGACATTCAGACTCACCACAATCACATTAGACAAGTTCTGCATACCTTGTTAAAGAATCAACTTTATTGTAAATTAGAAAAATGCATCTTTGACCAAACTGAAGTACAGTTTTTGGGATATAATATCTCTGCCTCTGGGTTTCAGATGGATCCTAAAAAGCTGTAATCGGTTCTAAAATGGCCTTTACCCATTAGATTGAAATCCATTCAAAGATTCATTGGTTTTGCCAATTATTACAGAAGGTTTATAAAGGGATTTTCTTCAGTAATAGCCCCCATCACCAATATGACACGCAAGGGGGTTAGCAGTACGATATGGTCTAAGGAGGCTATAGAAGCCTTTGAAATTCTCAAACAGCGGTTTGCCTCCGCCGACATATTGATACATTCTGACACCAGTAAACCTTTCATACTGGAAGTTAATGCATCAGAGACAGGGGTAGGGACAGTTCTCTCCCAGAGGGAGAGCCAGGATACTCCATTGCATCCTTGTGGTTACTTCTCTAGAAAGTTGTCTCCTGCCGAGCGCAATTATGATATTGGCAATAGGGAATTGTTGGCCATTATTCTAGCTCTCAAGGAGTGGCAACATCTTTTAGAGGATTCCAAGGACCCCCTTTTGATCATTACTGATCACAAAAACCTGGCTTACATAGGAGATGCTAAACAATTGTCTTCTAGACAAGCTAGGTGGTCTCTGTTCCTTTCTCGCTTTAATTTTCTTATTACCTATAGACCTGGTTCTAAAAATGTCAAGGCCGACGCCTTATCCAGACAGTTTGATACTGAGTCTATACAAGAGCAAGAAAAGTTCCATGTCATTCCCCCGGAATGTATCATTGCTTCCACTATCCTTTCATTGTCCTCTCCGCTGCTTGGCTCCATCATGGAGGCTCAATCTCAAATTGTTCGTTCCATTGGGGGAAAGGGTTAATATCATGAAGGTGTTTCACGACAATGCGTCTGCTGGCCACCCAGGTATTAATAAATCCACTTCTGCTATCATGAGGTCATTCTGGTGGGATTCCCTCAGGAAGAATGTTCTGTTTGTGCGGTTTCCAAAGTACCTCATAAACTCACTTGTGGCTTGTTACAACCTCTTCCCGTTCCTGAGGTCCCATGGTCCCACTTGTCTATGGATTTCATTGTAGAACTTCATAGTTCTAATGTTTATACCACTATTCCCATGGTTGTTGACTGTGTTTCTAAAAGGGCTCACTTCATCCCTCTAAAGAAATTACCGTCATCTCAAGACCTGGTACTGATCATTATACGTGAGATTGTCCGTCTGCATGGCATTGCTCACAATATTGTATCTGATAGAGATTCACAGTTTGCATCCCGGTTTTGGAGGGCTTTCAATAAGCAATTGGGGATTGAATTGTCTTTTTCATCCTCTTACCACCCCCAGACTAATGGTACAGCTGAGAGGGCTAAGCAGTCTTTGGAGTTATACTTGCGTTGTTTTGTTAATAGCACTCAAGACAATTGGTCCAAATTATTACCATGGGCCAAGTTTGCAAGGAACAATGCTGACCATGACTCCTCTGGGCATAGTCCATTTTTTGTTAATAATGGCCGGCATCCTACTGTCCAACTGGCTGTTTTTTCTGATACGGCTATTCCTGCTTTGGATGACCATCTGGCTTCCATCCGTGATACCTGGGTTAAAGTTCAATCTGCTCTGGGTACTGCTGCTGACCGTTTAAATCATCATGCTGATACACGTCGAGGTGCCAACCCTGTTTACCAAGTGGGTGAGAGGATTTGGTTATCTTCTCGTAACATCAGGCTCAAAGTCCCTAGCATGAAATTTGCTCCTAGGTTCCTTGGACCTTTTCGTGTCCTTCGTAGGAACAATCCTGTTACCTACTCTCTGGCCCTTCCAGCCTCCTTGAAAATTCCTAATACCTTTCATGTGTCCTTGCTCAAACCTCTTGTTTGCAATAAATATACTGTCTCAAGTGTCCTTCCTCCTCCCTTAGTTGTTTCTGGACAGGAAGATTATGAGCTCTCCTCCATAATTGGTGGATTGGAAAGGTTATGGACCAGCCGATCGTTCTTGGGTTCTGGCATCTGATATACATGCTGCCGCAAGATTCGCTATTTTCACGCCAAATTTCCTTTCAAACCTGGTCCTCCCTGCCCGGTGGGCGTTCTTCAGGTGGAGGGTAATGTCACGTATTCATCCGCTTATAAAAATGTGGTTAATGGCATTTACTGTCCACACAGGAAAAGTTGTGCCGAGCAGCAACCAAATCCACAGAAGGATTAATGCTGAGCAGCAATTGTGCAAATGGGAACCTGATAACTGCCTTTGAGGTCAAAGGCCGGTTACAACATATCAGATCTATTTAGGCCCAGTTCTCATCCTGCTCAGTGCCCTGTCGTGGTTTCCCTTGTGATTGTCATAGAGCGTGTTATTGATTCTGGTAATTCTGGTTATTTGATTATGGTAATTCTGGTTATTTGACTTTGGCATTGTTTTTGACTTCCCTGTTTTCTGGTATCCCTGACCCCTGGCTTTTCCTTATTGCTGTGTCTCTTTCTCTTTCCCTTGACCTCGGCTATTCCTGACTATTCTTTCGTACATTAGTCCGGCCATTCTAAGGTCCGGTATACGTTACCTATCAGTCCTCTGTGTTACACAATTCTACGTGCTGGATCATACTGTAATCCTGACAATCTCCATGTCAGATCATGTAATTTAGCTGGATTTAAGGACCGCCTGCCATATGGATAGTTCTTTAGAGTCTGTAGAATAATGTTGGCTTTGACACTAGAGTGATCTAGTGAACTAGAACAGGCTTTCACCTCCATGGGCTATGATCTGACTGTGGTCTCTTAGTGTAGTAGAAGAGTTAGATCTTTGGAACAAGGGCACTTGTTGAAAAAGTGCATGAGACCTGAAAATAAACATATACCTTGCTTGGCTACTTTCTCTATACATTCACAGGAAATGCAGCACATAGTCCATTGGGACATCCTACAATCAGATTACAAGATCACACTTTGTTTCCAGGAGCGTCCCATGTACCACTGTGGACACTGTGAATTGAAATAAGGTGATTGTGGAGGACCATTTTGTCATCCCCCGTATGGCTAGGAAATACTCTATCCAAGGCTATTGTAATTGCCGATCGGAATTTATGGTCTATCTTTTGAAGTGCTCATGTGTGTGAGATCACATGGGCACTCATGATCAGAATACATGCCAGTGGCTAGGCATTTTCTGGAAAAAGGACACACAGTTTCACAATCGAAGTTGATAACAATTGAATTTAGTGCACGGCTCCAAGTGTTGTAACTTCAGAGAGCTGTCTTTGAGGCAAAGACAATTATTTTGGATGTTTGAATTGCAAACACTTTTTCCAAAGGGTCTGGATAAAGAGAAATATTTGTCTCACCTATTATGACTTTGTTAGGGAATATAGTTTTGCATGGTACGTCAGCCTGTGCATGTTTTGTGGTATTATTATTGGTTTTATCCATCTTGTTTTTAGATTTTGGTGATGGATGTTTGTGGATATATGAAGGACTTTATGTCTGTACTTTGGCCAGTGTATACATAAGATAGATATACATCTTTTGTGAATTATTGGGGTTCTAATGGTGAAACTGAAACAGTTCATATATTTGGTTCATGAAGAATATTTTGGCATCATAGTTTGAGTATATTTATACATTCAGACATCTGTTTGGTTGTCTTGGGTTGGGAGCGAATCAATGCGGCTACCTTGATTTTATTCACACATCTTGGTCCAAACTTAGTATACTGGGTCTGGCCACCACCATGAGAGTTTTGACAGCTTGGGACATGACTATAGTATAACTGTGTATGCGCCCATGCGCGGTCATATTGCTCGCCGAATATGAGCCCATTCGCCATGTTTTCCATGGAGGGGGAAGCACAGGTCCAGATATGCATTATGGAGACACATTGTCAAGTTCCTATCCTGACTAGCAAGACTTTGTCCATTTAATACTGTTCCTTTAAATACAGTACCTGTTTCTCGCCTCTAGTGGCCTCCCTAGCCGCTAGTGTCCTCCGACTTGCACCTGTATAACATGAGATCAAGTTCTGCTATAAAAGACCACACCCGACAAAGCAAGTGGCCTTTTTGTTGATGTTGACGTTCATACTGCAGACTTCAGATCCTGGCTCCTGAAACAACCTTTGCCTTACCTTCTTGCTTCCTACCTGATTTACAAGTCTACACGCTATACTGCTGATATGTCACAACCTGCAAATAAAACCACTTTAGTTAACTCTGGCAAACCTGATCAAGAGCATGACAGAATGTAAAGGCCACGGAGACTACAGGGTTAACCACTTACAAAACTGGAAATGGATAAAAGACAACAAGAGGATTCATGCTATTATTGTGGAGAAAAATGGCACAGAATCACATACTGCCAAAGAAGACCACCTAAATCTCCTGCAGTCGCTGAACCCAAGATAAAGACCACAGAAACAAGCACTCCTATATACAAAGACACAAACTACGGTATGTCTGATCTACATAAAACAAATATACCTACCTTTCCTCCATCAGCTGATTCCCCAGCATCTTATGATTCAGATGAGGGATCTGTAGAGATGGACTACAATGCTCCGCCCTCAGATGGCATGCGTTCATTCATGAGCGAATGTCCTGAACCTATGGTGGCTACCATGACTACTATTCCCATCAGCTGGGCCGCGGTAAAGAAGAATACTGTTAAACATCACTTGTGTGCCCCTGGTCTTGTAAAAAACAGTGATGGTACTATCATACCAAGAGAAAAACTCACCAATTATGAAAGGTATCTGGCTGAAAAGAGGTTTGTGGAAGCTAATCCCCTAGAGCTATCATTCAAACAAGACCCTACTTACACTTCTGTACAACCAGCTACCATGGGTATAATGATGACTACATCTAAAGAACCCCCTGAGGACACCTTCAACCAAGTGTCAACCTGCTCTTCTTCACAACCAGTTATCTCAGGTATGCTATTACCTATTGTAACACTGGTTGTCAAATCTGGATTAATAAAGAACAACAACGAACCCATCTCTACATTAAGGAGAAAAGAAAATTCCATATCTGAAGACATATCACCTGACCGTATCAGAGTCTCAAAACGGTACAATTGTACGTCTTGAAGACCTAGCCATATTTGAGCAGATGCTAAAAGACAGAGAAAAGAAGAAAAAACATAGAAAAAAGAAATGACACCATTGACTCTGATAATGATTCTTCTCTGTTTAAAAGGGACTGTAAATACCTTTGTTCTACTTCTTGTTTTATTTATTCTCAGATCTTTGCATCCTGAGGCAGCTCTTTAAGGAGGGGGTTGTGTCAGGTTCCTATCCTGACTAGCAAGACTTTGTCTGTTTAATGCTATTGCTTTAAATACAGTACCTGTTTCTCGCCTCTAGTGGCCTCCCTAGCCACTAGCCTCCTCCGGCTCGCACCTATATAACATGAGATCAAGTTCTGCTATATATATATATATATATAATGTTTATACTGAAGACTTCAGAACCTGGCTCCTGAAACAACCTTTGACTTACCTTTTTGCTTCCTATCTGATTTGCTACAAACCCTGCTCCTTACCAACTTGCATTAATTACAACCCTTAATTATCCTGTCAACCTGATTTACTTCCAACCCTGCTCCATACCAACCCAGCTTCATACCAACTTGGATTGCTTGCAACACTACTTTATTCTTCCAACCTGTTATCATGGGTGTCTGCAGGGAGGGGCAAGGAGGGGCACTTGCCCCCTTCACCCCCCCTGGATTTTTCCGATTGTTCTGCTATTTTTCGTGTGAGATTGAAAATACAGTGCAATACCGGCACCTGTATATGGAGAGAGACAGGGATAGGAAGCTACATCTTATTCCTGCTACTCTCTCCTGACTGAACCCGCAGGGGAGCAGCACAGAGTGCAGCCAGCAATCCTAGACTGCAGAGACAGCCTGCATATCAGGTAAGTGAAGGCTGGGGGGACAGCCTACAGATCAGGGAAGTGAGACGTGGGGGGCAGCCTACAGTTCAGGGAAGTGAGGGATGGGGGAGGGGAGAGAAAGCCTATTGATCAGGAAAGTGAGGGGTGGGGGGAGAGAAAGCCTATAGATCAGGAAAGTGAGTGGTTGGGGAGAGAGAATAGATCAGAAAGGAGGAGGGGGGGAGAGAATGCATAGATCAGGAAAGTGAGGGTGGGGGGGAGAGAAAGCCTTTAGATCAGGAAAGTGAGGGGAGGAGGGAGAAGAATTCTATAGATCAGGAAAGTGAGGGATGGGGGGTTGAGAGACAGCCTATAGATCAGGCAAGTAAGGGATGGGGGTGACAGCCTATAGATCAGGCAAGTAAGGGATGGGGGGAGACAGCCTATAGATCAGGTAAGTGAGGGATAGGGGAGACAGCCATAGATCAGGTAAGTGAGGGATGGGGAGAGAAAGCCTATAGATCAGGAAAGTGAGGGATGGGGGGGAGAGAAAGCCTATAGATCAGGTAAGTGAGGGATGGGGGGAGAGAAAGCCTATAGATCAGGTAAGTGAGGGATAGGGGTGCAGCATACAGATCAGGTAAGTGAGAGATGGGGGATCCACCTACAGATCAGGTATGTGAGGGATGGGGGGAAGACAGCATATAGATCAGGTGAGGAATGGGGCGAGGCAGCATATAGATCAAGTGAGTGAGGAATGGGTGGGACACCGCCTATAGATCAGGTAAGTGAGGGATGGGGGAGACAGCAAGGAGCAGGAAGGTAAAATAAGAGAAGGAGCAGAAAGGAGAAAAAACAGAAATGAGCAGAACGGGACATCAAGGAGCAGAAAGGGACAGCAAGGAAAACAAAAGGTAAAGTGGGAGAACGAGCACAAATGAACAGAAATGAGCAGGAAGAGTCTGCAAGAAGCAGGAAGGGTCTGCAAGGAGCTGGAAAGGGCAGCAAGGGGAAGGAAGGGTCTGCAAAGAGCAGAAAGGGACAGAAAGAGCACAAAAGTAAAGGAGCAGAAATAATCAGAAGGAGCACAAAGGTAAAGTAGGAAAAGGAGCAGAAAAGGGTAGCAAGGAGCAAAAAGGGACAACAATAAGCACAAAGGTAAAGTAGGAGAAGGAGCAGAAGGGGTCTGCAAGTAGCAGAAAGGGATCAGAAAGAGAAAGGAGCTGAAGGGTGCAAAATAAGCAGAAAGTAGCAGAGAAGTAAAGGGGCAGAAGGAGCCAAGGAGGAGAGAAGACCGTGTCAGAAGAAAAAGAAGACTGTCAAATGAAGAAGAAGAAAATGAGATTGGAGCAGGAAGGACAAGTGAAGTGAACCCTCCACTTTATTCTGGACACCACATCATAAGGCTTTGGTACCTGGCCCTGGCAAGGAAACTTTGGACCTTCTCACCTCCCCAGGTAAAAAAAATAAAAAAATATCAGTGCTAATGTGTTCACTTTTATTTACTGAGTGTCAGGAAGCACAGAGTGCCGCTGGGTAGGTGTGTCGCTGATTGGCTAGAGCAGTCAGCTGGCACTCTAAGCCAATTAGTAGCTCCCCATTCATAAAAAGTAAAACATTTTAATGAACCGGGAACTAGCGATTGGCTTAGAGCGTCAACTGACCACTCTAGCCAATCTGCAGCATCCATGTCTGGCAACAATCTGCACTTCCTGACACTCCGTTTCAGAAGCCGAATACCACTGAGCAATATGGAGATCTGGAGCTGGAGAAAGCCTTTGGGGTTAAACCATTTGAGAGTGGTTTAACCCCTTAAAGGAAAGAGAGCACCCAGGAGTTTCCTGGCAACGTAGCATTTTCATTTAGATTAAGTTGTTATGGTGGCTAGAATGTTTCTTTAATTTGCTTAAAAGAACACTATAGTGGCAGGAATAAAACATATATACCTGACACCATAGTTGTGAAAACGTTATTCCAATTCAAATGCACCCGGGCAACAGGCAGGCGGAACACAGTGCCCCCTGCTACCCTCACAGCCACAGTGTCTCTGGTGTGCTGGTTCTCAGATACCAAGTTCTTTTGGAGCAAGGTCATGGTAGCATCGGTATCTCGCAGACCACTGACCTCTTTCCCATTTACTTTAACAGTTTGCCATTGCTGCTGCCTGTTGTCCCGGTGGGCTGCTTGAACGGGGTCTGCTTCGTGCAGGATGCCCCAGCATTCCTCCTCCTCAATGCAGTTGGCAGCAGGCTGAGGCAGTGGCGGATCTGGGGGATGGCAACGGGGCAATTGTCCCCCCCCCCCGAAAAAAACGACGGTCTCCCTCTCCCCTGCCAGCACATGCAGGCGCCAGCCCTGCAATGTGCCTTCGCGGACCGGAGGGGAGATCAGAGATCTCCCTCCCCGGTCCGCAGACCCCGTGCGGGCAGCCGGCAGGGGGAAGGAATGAGCGAGGACCCGTGAGCTCAGCCTGCAGCTCCTCCGGGTCCTCTTCTCGCGAGCACAGAGCATTGCTGCGGTTACCACTCTACCCACTGGGCCACCAGGGAATCCCCACCAGACCACCAGGGATCAAGAAATGTCCCCCTCCTCCCAGTAAAGGTAAGAAGGGAGGGGGGACATAATGAATATTTATTTTAATTAAATAAATAAAAAATATTATTAAAAAAGCCCCCTTACCCTTCTTATCACACACACACACTCTAGACACATACACTGCCCCCCATACACACACACTGCCCCCATACTGCCCCCATACACATAAACTGCCCCCATACACACACACTGCCCCAATACACACATTGCCCTACACATACACTGCCATCCCATACACACACATTGCCCACACTCACACATACACTGCAATCCTCACACACACACACTGCAACTGTTACACACACATCCTGTCCCACACATACACTGCATCCCTGACATACACTGCCGCCCTCACTCACACACTACAACCTTCACACACTCACACACTGCTCACACACTATCCCCCTCACACACACACACACTGCACCCCTTACACATTGCACCACTCACACACACCACAGCTCCTATGCCCTACTACAGCCCCATTTCCCAGCAGACCTCAGGTAAGTTGTCAAACTGTTCTTAAACTGTTTGACTACTTACTCTGGGAGGGGGTCCTGGTACTATTGACACCATAACCACTACACTGAGCTGTAGTGGTTATTGTGTCTGGATTATTTCTTAGATAATCCTCCCGAGATCAGGCTCTGGATCCGCCACTGGGCTGAGGGTTACGCTGGTTTCCGCAGGCGGTTCTCCTCCAGGACTGTGCTTGGTTGGCGGTGTTTAATGGACACTCTGGTCTTTTGTGCCCCAGCTTATTACATCCAAAGCACTGGATGGGCTGAGAGTAGTCCCGTGAGTTAAATCAGGACGGCTGATTATAGCTGGCAGCTGGAGGTGGTGCTGGAGTGCGGTGCGCCGGGGCGGTAGTGGCTGGGGGTGCTGCTGGTCGGTACTCCACTCTGGCAGGGACCTTGGCTGTAGCATTGTCCAGTTTACGGGCATCGGTGTATTCGTCAACCAGGGGGGCAACTTCAGGCAGAGTGGAGGGTTTGCAGTCCCGTACCCACTCTATGACTCCTGCAGGTAATTTATCAAAGAAATTTTCCAACAGGAACAGCTGCAGCACCTCTTCCCCGGATACGGCTTGACACCCCGCCATCCAGTGGGCTGCCGTGTAGTGCACCCGACATGCCCACTTGGTGTAGGAATCTCTGGCCAATTTATTAGTCTCTCTGAAGCGCCTCCGGTATGCCTCAGGTGTAACGGCATACCTGGTTAACAGAGCCTCTTTTACTGCATTATAGTTTTTGATCTCCTCATCAGGGATGGCCCGAAAAGCTTCACTGGCCCGGCCAGATAATTTTCTGGATAAAATAGTGACCCAGTCCTCATGGGGTACCCTGTGTAGAGCACATTGCCGCTCAAAATTAGCAAGGCACCCATCAATTTCTCCTTCTGTTTCAACAAAGTTTTTAAATGCTGCAAAATTGACCTTTTTCTTCTCCACCGGGATTACTGTGACTTGGGCTGCTGCAGCGCCGCTTTGGCGAAGTAGGCTGGCCTCCACAGCGGCTATGACCTGGTCGATGATCTCTGCAGTCGGGTTGGGGCCATAATGTGCCAGTCTTATTTTTACCGCCCGGTCAAAGCTTGCCTCTTCAGGGTTCTTT